TAACTATTATATGCTAATAATATCATAAAAAAACAAACAAAACAAGGTCTGGGCTTTTTCCCCATTTCTTTGTTAGTTTCTGAGTCTTTGCTTCTAGTTCATGTCTGGACCTCTTGGATCAGGTTGATCTCAAAGCCCTATGTCTACTCTGGGTCTTTCCAAGCCAATAGCCCACCCAGCCAAAGCAAAAGGTGGTAAAGCAGTTCTATCTGTTGTTGTGTGGACTAGGAGGAGAAGAGACAGAAAGGACAGTCAGTAGTTTGGTGTTGGTTTAACTTGATTAACATGATTTATTTGAGTCAGCTAGAAGTGTCTCAACCCTTTTTGACATCTTACATTACACTTCTGTCTTATGTAGTTCTCTTTAATTATTGCTGCCTCTCTGTTTGGCACAGAGGCGAAAAGGACTGAGTTTCACATGTCCTGACTTCAATGAGCATAGTGTCAGTGCCACATCTAACTGTCAGATTGAGAGATGAGATTGGGAGAGATTATAGGGCCTTAAGTGCAGAATTGGGTCCAAACTGGCTGATTTTCAGCTCAGCTTCAGCATATGGCTGTTCCCCTTAATTGTCCCTGAAAAAACAACAAAGGTGGGAAGGAGCCATTGTGAAGTTGAGACTCTTGGGTGTCATCGGTGATGATGAGGGGTCAGATTAGGTGACAAATCAGTTATCAATCAGCAGTTGGTAAGTACTCAATCCTGCTCATGTAAGAAACTACATTTTCTTGCTGATTCTGTTTCAGAGTAACCTGTGGATTTTTTTTCCTGGAGATTACTGACTTTTGGCTTCTTTTTTCTGCAATGGCAAAAAGTCATGGAGACTGAAGGATTTGTGCTTATTTAGGCGGAGCTCATTCTCCAGCCCTGCTGGCCGTGGAAGCTCTGCTTCCGAAAGCATTGAGGGAAAGCAGCTTTTTTCCCTGTTTTTTTCTTGCAGCGGGTGCTTCCCAGGTGAAATGGAATAAAAAACGCTAACTGCCTGCCACCAGCCATGACGGTGATGTACGGATATGGGATAAGCGGGTGAGTGACCTTATATTCCCACATTTGGTTTTTTGGTCCCTCCCAGAGGTATGAAGAAGATGTTATGCTCATGCTGTAATTCTAGTACTCAGGAGGCAGAGATCAGGAGGATCTCAGTTTGAACCAGCTGAACAAATAGTTCGTGAGAATTTATCTTGAAAACCTCTCACAAAAAAGGGCTGGTGGGAGGTCTCACAGTGTAGTCCTGAGTTCATCCCCCAGTTACTCGCAAAAAAAAAAAAGGATATTATGAGGACCAAGACTTGTCTTGCAGGTCTGAGGAACCCTGTGCACCATGGCAAGTTGTCATTTTAACATAATAGGTACCGGATAACATTGCTTTCCAATTGAATTGATGTTGAAGAAGATTGGAAGCGAGACATTACGGTTGGTGATTGAGAACATGAACTCAGCCTGACCTAAGTTATAGCACGGTTTGCTTCTTCTAATTAGGATATCAGGTAAGCCACTGTAAACTTCTCTAAGCCTCATTGTCCTCACCTTTGAGATGAAAAGTTAGTAGTGAGGGAATTATTTGGTCAAGCTTGGGGACCCACACTTTTAGAATGATAGCAGGCTCTTCTTATCCTGCCATGTTTGCAAGTGCAAACTAGTTCATAAAAACATACACAATTCTTCATACTTGTACTTTAGATCATTTTGTTTATGCTCAGTCTCCCTGAGAATCTAGATACCCATCAGCCTCAGATAGCCTGCACACTGATCATACATTCCCACTGCTGCAGCCCATGTACTGACAGGTACAGAGCAAGCTACCAGGTCGGTGTAATGAAAAAGGCAACTGGAAGTTTGGTATGTTGGGTGTCAGTGAGAATCTTACTGTCAGATGGACAGGTGGGTATAATGGATAAGAGCTGCGGTATAAATAAGTTCCTTGATCTGTGAAGCCTGAGGGCTAAGAGATCCTCACCTTTGTGATTATCCAACCAAGTACTGATTTAAAGTACCTTTTCACTCTCAATCTCCCGCATAACGAATTATAGATGTGCACATCCATGCCCAATTTTTTCCTTTATATAGGTCTTATACCTTTTGCTAGGACTGACCTCAAACCACGATCCTCCTGATCTTTGCTTCTTGAGTAAGCTGGTATTAACAGGCATGACCCTAGATTCTAGCCCTACCCATAAAGTCTTAAGCATTGGCTTCTGGCTGCATAGGAAGTATGTCATAACATTTGGAAGAGAAGAGGACCAGTTGGGTATAGCAGGTCCTGGTCTGTTGAACTAGGCTCGTAGGACCTGCTGGGTCCATGCAGTCGTGCTGGCTGAAGCCCCACCGGTTAGGAGCTTCTTAGCGGGATGGGGTAATTTCAATAGAGGTTTGGGCGCATGTATCTCTTATGTGTTAGTTTTTTCTGTCCCTTTGGTCTAATATGGTAATAGTCATTTTCTTTCCTTTTATTTGTATAAGTTGGTGAGCTGGTTTTATTCAGGCTCTAGGAATAGCACTTTACGTATAGTAAATGGTTTAAATAGGCTGGGCTGTAATCCAGCAGTCGGAAGGCTGGAATGAATTTGAGGTAACCTGGGGTACATAGTAAGTTCTAGGCCAGAGGTGCCTAATGAGACCCTGTCTCAAAACAACAAAAACACCACCCAAATAAAAAGGACTAATACATTTAGTTAGTTTGTAGTGCTTAATAGTTGCTTGGACTTTTTTTCAGAACCATAGCAAAATAAACATAGGAAAAGAAACAAAACAATCTGTTATTGCATGTTTTCTTATTGGTTCACTGAGAAACTAACTTCCCTCTGCCCTTTTCTCTATTTTGTTGAAGCAATTTTAATTTTTAAAAATACGTATTATACGTAGGGTTTCTGCTTGGGTGGGTTGTAAGTGTGATCGTAGTTTCACCTCTCTGGCTCTCTCTGGTGTCAGAGCAGCACTGAGGGCATCAAGCAGCATGGGCTTACAGTACAGTGTCAGTGGTTATGTTGGACTTCTTCCAGCTTCACAGGAGGCTCACAGGTGACTCATGGTACTGACATTTGCTCAGCCTGCTACATTCAGGCATCGTTCTGAGAGCTTTACCGGTATAGGTTAGTTTCCCTTTGTAACTAGCCTTTCCGTAAGAACTGTTCTGATCCCTGTTCTACAGATGAGTAAACTGAGGCACATTGCTGCCAGGATTTGAACCCAGGGAGGTTGCTTCTGGAGACTGTACTGTTGACTTCATTGACTAATGCCAATTGCGGAAGTAACACATGCTCTTTATAGAAAATATAAGAGAAAAAGACCACTCAATCCTATACCTAGAAGGAAAATGTTAGCATTTTTAGTTTTTTTGAAATGTAGTTTACCATATCATGCATGTAGTTATGTGTACTGTTTTCATTTAGCATTACAGCTAATGCAGTTCCTCTAAGTATGTTTTTCTTTTTATTATTGTAATTATTAACACATATTAACTGTACAAATTAATAGGATTCACTGTATCTAACTTTTAATGGCTAGATCATATTGTATCACACAGCTGTAGTATATAATTTATTCAATTTAAGTATTCCCCACCTACTGATTATTTGTTTCTGGTATTTTAGTGTTCCACCAAGGGAAGCATCTTTTTATCTGAAGCTTTCATTGAATTTGAATTATTCCCTTTGAAAAGGAAAATATTTAGTCTCTTGACAAACCTTTCAGAAATTTTTCCCCCATTGTTGTCACCAACAGTGACAAATACAACTTTAGTAGCATTGAGTATTATTTATGAACATCTTCTAATTTGATAGCTTAAATATTTTTTGAGGCTGAGCACAGTGGCTCACATCTGTAATCCTGGCTACTCAAGAGGTGGAGATCAGGAGGATTGTGGTTCAAGGCCAGCCTGGGCAATAAGTCAGCCATGGTGGTGTGCATCTGTGGCCCCGCTGCATGGGAGGCATAGGTAGGATGATTGCCGTCTGAGGCTGGTTCCAAGCAAAAATGTGAGAACCTATCCAAAAAAATAACTAAAATAAAAAGGCTGGGAGTATGGCCTGAGTAGCAAACATGAGGTCTTGAGTTCAAACCCCAATACTGCCCTCCCACCCCAATCTTGCTTTGATGTATATTTCTGAAGTTGCCTTCCGAGTTTGGTTTATTTATTTAAAAAAAAAATTTTTTTTTGTGGCGCTAGGGATCAAATCCATGGCCTCATCATGTTGGACCAGCACCTACCCATACCCTGAGCCCAGTTTGTTATGAATGCTGATAGGCGTGTGTGTGTGTGTGTGTGTGTGTGTGTGTGTGTGTGTGTGTGTGTGTATTGGTTTTCTTTTGGGATCTTAGTGCTCAGTCATTGTAAGATTGGTGATTTTACCCTCATGGTTGAGGTTGGATACTTTTGGAATTCACAGCCCCTCTGTGTGATTGTGAGGATGAGGAGTGGGAAAGGTACCCTGTGAAAAGAAAAAGCATTCATTCCCCATATCTTTTATTGAAGTCACCCATCAGACTGGAGTGGGTAGAAATTTGGCTAACAGGCCCATTTCCCTGTGAAAGAAAGTTGGATAGGTCTTTTGGTGGTGGTGGTTCATTTGGTTTAAGCAAAAGCCAGTAGAATTTGTGTAATAGTATTTGGCAGTAATTTTGTTCCCCTCAGTACCCAGCAGATTGTTACGTGGTGGACAACTCCTCGAGTTCTTTCAAAATTGACAAACTCAGTGCTAATCTGTTGCAGAAACCCAACCGCAGTGGAATATCTAGCAGCCCACCTCTCCAAAATCCATGGCCTGGACTGGCACCCAGACAGTGGCACATTCTTGCTACCTCCAGTCAAGACAACTCTGTCAAGGTGAGTGGGACCAGTGGGACATCAGAGGAGCTGTTGGGGACCCTCAGAGATGTGATAGCACCTTGGAAGAAAAGCTGCAGTGTGCCACATGCTCTGTGTCTTTCCTGGGTGCCTGGGAGCTGAACAAAAAACTTGGTTATATTGCTAGCACGAGTGATGTAGCAGCTAGCTGATGTGGCTGTTGATTTGCTCAGAAGGTTTTCTTTCCATCCATGGAAGGAGTCAGTGACATAAGCATTTAGAAAGGGAAAGAAGTTTACTTGCAAAGAAGTTGCAAGGAAGTCAGAAATATACACAGAGATAAAAGTTCACATTACCAAGTTTACAGTTAGTCGGTTCACAATGGGAAGGCAGCAGTTTGGTTATCATATCTGGAAAAGTTTTGACCTCACATCTGCATTGCAGAAGTTGGGTAGAGTTGTTTTGTTCAGTATTTTCCAACGTACAGGAAATGCTCAAGGTGTATGTGTTTCGTGACTGTTGTTTTGGTTTATCTGAGAGTACAGTTTTTCTTGTTTGTCCTCTCCAACTGTGGCATGTTCTGTGCACCCTTGGTCAGAGAGGTGGTAGGGCAGGGCCATCTCTGCTCCGCAGCCCCTCTTGTAGCCCCAAGGATCACAGAAGTTGGTTTAGCAATTCTGTGACACTGCATTATTAATTTTAATGCCTACTGTATCTACATAGGTGTGTACAACATCTTTCTGGTATGGTTAGCAAAACTGAGGTCATACCTAAGGTTTAAAAGTTAACTATGTCTTGAGGTTTATAAATTCCCTTTAAATAAATTTTTATTGTTATAATTGTTTTAGTAGTCTACTATTAGTTATTATTTTTAATATCTTATTATTTGCAATTTACTTTCATGTGCCAGAAGTGGCATGTTTGCCTTTATTTTGTTTGTTACATTTGGGTTTTTGTCCCACATTCCCATCAGCTTAGCTCCCAAGTTCAGGAACCAGAAACATCTAGTTCTGCATTTGAAAAAGAGGTTAATAACATCTTTATATGTTGTAAAGATTAAGTGAGATTTAAAAACCCTTGAACTTTTAAGCGTATATCTGAAATGTAGTATTAAGTAGTCAGATATTTCGTCTTTCTTTTTTTTTTTTTTTTTTTGGACAGTACTGGGGTCTGAACTCAGGGGTTCATGCTTGCTAGGCAGGCACTTTACTGCTTGAAACACACCTCCAGCCCTGTTTCTTCTAGTGTTATTGAATTACTTGTCTGGTACAAAAGTGGTACAGGATCAAAACCTGTTACTTTTTTACCTTTCAGCCAGGAAGTTATTACTGGGCAGTTGACAGTGACCTGTCCTGACTGACGGCCCTTGTGAGGTCCAGAACCCCGTGATGTTTATAGATACGTGGGAAGGATCCTTTGTGTAGCTCACGGTAGCGTGGTTATGGGGGTGGAACTGAAAATACACTATTGAAATGTTTCTTTGGCGGACAGAAAGCAGTGAGTTCAAAGGCTATGCTTATTTCAATAGTCGAGTTTTTAAAATGATGTTTATTTTTAAAAGATGTCTTTTTTTGTAGTTCTGGGATTACCGCCAGCCTCGGAAATACCTTAATATTCTCCCATGCCAGGTGCCTGTCTGGAAGGCCAGATACACGGTGAGTGAGATATTCATGTTCCAGACACGGGCCAAGAGACACCTTATTTTCTCTGTGAGGTAGTTTTCTCTTTCTGTCTTGGTTTGGGGTACAGCAAGTGTGGTCATGATGGCATAAGTGCTGTTAACTACTTAAAAATTTACCCTTGAAATGCTGGGTGGGCATCTGTCTTAGATCCAGTGAACGAAAACCTGGTGGTGTGAAGATGCTCACTGGTGGCAGGGCAGCAGAGTAAGGTGGAGGAGAGAGTTGAGGGCTTGGAAGCTGAAAAAACTCTGGCTTCAGATTCAGACAATCTAGTTTGGGGCCCAGCTCTGCTATTTAATGTTTGTGTAGTCTTGAACAATCCACCTGATTTTTCAGCAGAAATTTCTTCATTTGTTGAACATGAAGAACAATTTTTTACTGTGCCTTTCTTTTTTCGTTATTGAGATAAAATTTACCATTTTAAAATGGACAATTCAGGGGCATTTAAAGCATTGTAATCTACTTTCCTTTTGAAATAATGTATAGGATGTGCTTTATAAATCATAAAATGCTACAAATAGAGAGGGTAGACTATTTATCCACCTTCCAGCCCTTTTTTCATGGCCATATTGATAGCTACTGGTTAAAGATAATGTATTTCTTTTAATGTCAATTTGAAAGCAAGCGCAGAGGTGAACAAAGCTATTTTTATGCATTAGGCTGTCACACTGGGACATTGTAGAGCAAAGAAGATAATTGGGTATTAAGTTGTTTTTGCATCTGGGATCACTTGCCAAGAAATGAGACACTGTTCTTATGAAGTAACATCTCTGGAATGTGTTTCCTTTAAAAAAAAAACAAAACAGAAAAGTCCATGAGTATTATCAGAAGGAGAGGTGAGGATCATAAATTTGCTCTTAGTTGGCTATGGCTGTTCCTTAAATAGCAGTCTAGTTATCCACCATCTGGATCCATTAGCTACCTAGAAGATTGGGTGTTCCTGAGTAAAACATATCAGTCATGGGTTGCTAAGTTTTCCTTTGAGTAAGTGTAATACTGGGGAGTGGGAGGTGAAGGTTCATGTGAGAGGTATGCTTCTGGACTCTCCACATGACAAGAATTGTATTTGCTGCTCTAGGGGTTTTCCCAGTGATCCCTGTACACTCATTCTTCAGAGCAAACACATGGCAAGTAGCTTGGATGTGAAATAGCAGTAAGAGCCATGTGCTCATTGTAGAATTTTCAGGATCTTCTCCAAGTACTTGGCTTGGCCTTATTTTTCACTTCCCTTCCATAAGCTAGAGAGAGGCTAGATGTGATGGTCAGCTTATGATATTTAGGAAAAATTTCCCCAGATGGATTGGGGTCTTTCATCAACTAATGTATTTTAGTTAGGAAAAGTTCCAACTTGGAAACAGCCACATCTAATTGTCCCTGGAGTAATCACTGCCTTCCACTGTCTTGCTATAGCCTTTCAGCAATGGATTAGTGACTGTGATGGTTCCTCAGCTACGGAGGGAGAATAGCCTGCTCCTATGGAATGTCTTTGACTTGAACACCCCGGTTCACACCTTTGTGGGGCACGATGATGTGGTGCTGGAGTTCCAGTGGAGGAGGCAGAAGGAAGGTGAGTGGGAAGAAAACCACTGCCTGTTTCCTTCTGAGCTCTGGTAGATAGCTGCACAGTCATGTGGTCTAGTAAGGAGGATCAGAACAGAGATGGGCTCTAGGAGCCTATAGGGTGGGGGCCACCAGTAAAGATAGTATGTGGCTGCTGTCGTTCCCCCCAAGTTCCCATCTCTTCTCTGATTTCCAGTGTAGTGTCTCCTGCTAGGAAGAGATCTGCTATAGTAAGAAGTTGATAGAGATTTGCCGTTGGATCATCTCTAGGACTGAAAGACTCTTGGGATCACTACCCTCAGAGGTTCAGGGCATTTTCCCTTTCCTCTCTGTTGATGAAAGAGACTTCTGATGGTCATTAGTACTGTCCACCACATACCTGCATCTCTCTTCACAAACACGTAATGGTATTCTACCTTTCAACCCCTTGAAGATAGATTTGGCCAAATGACTTGCTTTGATAATGGAACATAGGTAGAAAAGATGAATCTCTCTGGGGTTGAAGTGTTAGAGCTGGTGTGCCATTATGCCCTCTCTCTACTTCTGTCATAGTGACAGGCAAGACTCCAGATGGAGCTGTTCCAAGCAGATCCTGCCATGAGGATGAGGAGGAGCTGTAGAGTGAACAGGAAATTCTTGCATTAAGCTTCTGAGATAGTGGTGTTGTTTGTTAATAGCTTAATCTAGTCAGCCCTCAATAAGGCAGTCATAAGAATAAAGGGAGTCAAGAAGCCCTTGGACTCAGTCTCTCCACCAGCTAATCAGATCATTGCCATGATCTCTAAATGTTAGATAGGTAGAACAGAGGCAAGCATGGAGTAATGTGACTCATTCAGCGTCCCAGGAAAGTCTCTAGTGTACCTGAGATTAGAGCAGTCATTGCCTAAACCAGCTTGTTTTAGCCCTCATAAACCTCTTACAGATTTTTCTTTTTTTTTTTTGGAGGCAACGTCTTGCTGTGTTGCCAGGCTGGCCTCAGACTCATTCACAACTCTTTTGCATCATCCTCCTGAATAACTGGGATTATAGTCATATATCACCATGCCTGGCTCCTTTTTAAAGAGACTGTGTTTTGTTGTGTTTTTAAAATTTTTTTCTTTTTGTTGGTAGTGGGGTTTGAACTTGGTTTGAACTTGGGGCCTCATACTTGCTAGGCAGATGCTCTACCACTTGAACTATGCCCCTAGCACTTAAAGAGGCTCTTGATCATCCTCTTAACCTTCCTATTTTTATCTCTCTTGTTTCCAGAAAAATCAGATCTCCTGGTCTGTATTCTATCAATTGCATGCATTCATTTGACTTTCAATCTAATCTCATGCACTTTGCCATAGAAAATAGATGATATAATTCCCCACTATCTGGCAGGGAAGAATTGAATTGTATCTTTGGATTGAAATAAATAGTTTTAAGTAATCCATTTTAGTTACCTAGGTCACCTTTAAGCTGTTGTAGTAAATTGGAAGTATGTAGCTAACGCCAAAATTTTGATTATAAGTTAAAGTTTTTTAAAATCTATTTTTATTGTGAAATATATCATGTATCTAGAAAACTATAATTTGTTATATGTAATAGAAAATTACATAAAACATGCAGAAGTAAATAATTGTAAATTTGAGGTCTATATAATTCTCACCAAGGTCAAGAGAGAATAATGTCAGGATCCCGGAAGCTTGCTGACCACGGTACCCTTCCTTCTCCCAGAGTGTTACCACCTCTACATTTAGGTAGCAACTTCTGATTTTTTTTTCTTTATGGTTTTTGCCACCAATTTATTTCTTTGCTGTTTATTTACTTATTATTTATTTTTGTAGTGCTGGGACGAGTTAAGCAAGGGTCTCAGTAAGCAACCACTCTACCACTGAACTACATTACTTGCCCTTACCACCTGTTTATGAATTTTGAAAATAGTTTAGGCTTGCCTGTTTTTGAACTTTTTACAAATTTAATTATGTTTTTCCTTCCTTCTCAACTTAATGTTGCTCTGGTGTATTTTTACTGCCATGTCTTTTTAGTCCATTTTTATTATATTGACTCATGCTTTGATTTTGATTTGATTTTCACTGTGGAGAAGGATCTCTCAAAGAGGCAGGAAGAGAATCAGGATGTTGTGGCCAAGGGAAATGGGTGCTTCATGAAGGAAGCGGCAGTCATTGGGTTCATGTGTTGCTGAAGGACCAAAATGCAGAGTGAGAGGAAAGCACTTGATTAAGCAAAAAGGGAGCTGGCTGTCCACTAAGAGAGAAGTTCCAAAACAGAGTGAGGCTAGAAGCCAGGTCCTCAGGTAGCAAAAATGGAGGCAGCAGGAACCTCTTCTGTTACCTTTGAAGGCAAGGAATAGAATAAGCCAGCTGGTTGAGGTTGCTGACCTCTTTGAAGGCAGGGAAAAGAGTAAGGAAAGGAGTTGGTGGGAAAGCAAGGGTCCTCCTGGAATGAGTGGAAATGGGGTGGAAGGCCAGGTAGAGGATCTGAGTTCACAAAGCACCTTGGCATACCTTCTCCTCAGTCAGGGGCATGCAAAGAAGCTAGAGGTAGGGTCAGAAACTTGGTGACTGGAAACATGAGGCTGGATGGTGGAACTTGACAAGGGTTCAGAATAGTTTATGCTTTATTAGGCATGCCTATGGATATATTAAAACATTGGGGAGTGAAGTTTTGGTTAAAGTTAGTGACACAGAGGAAGAACTTGTTTTACTGTCCATTCACCCCATTACCTTGGACAGGTCATGTTCTCTATTGCCTCATTTTGAGGGAATTGAATAAAGTCATTTCTAAATTCTTTGCTCTCTAAAGATGGCATGAAAGAGATTCTAGATAATGTAATTATTTTGGTGTCATTACACTAAAGTGTCCTGATCATTTACAATCTCCTTCATAAAGCACCTCAACCTTTTAAAAATGATTTCCTTTCACCAGACCCAATATGTGAAAATGTGATTCAGTCAATTAAAGATTAAAAGATTAGTTTTCATTTTATTTTATTTTTGTTTATTTATTTTTGTGGTACTGGAGGTTGAACTCAGGGCCTTCACCTTGATCCACTCCACCAGCCCTATTTTTGTAATGGGTTTTTTCAAGATAAGTTCTCATGAACTATTTGCCCCAGCTGGCTTCAAACCACGCTTCTCCTGGTCTCTGCCTCCTGAGTAGCTAGGATTACAGGCTTGAGCCACCAGCGCCTGGTTGGTTTTTATTTTATAAAGAGATGCAAATTATACCAAAAATTCTTTCAAACAGAAAGGTGCCATGATGCATTTAAAAAACAATTCATTTTTACAAAAAATATATTCATTCCCAGCTCCTTAGGAAGACGTAAAGGGAGAACATTTGCAGAGGTGAAAGTTAGTGTGACATTAAATCCCAGCATCACTCTCCACCTGCTGGCTTGCCAGTTGTCATTTCACTTCATTTAAGTTTCTACTCAAATGGAACTTCCTCAGGGAGTCCTTCTAAAAATAGCTCTTCTATCAGTCTTTGTCCTCCTATTCTGTGTGTGGGGGGATGGGGAGTTGTGCCACTTATCACTACCAGACATTTTATTTTATATTTACTTATTTGCTTTTTTCCATTATTAGAATGTGATATCTATAAAGATGTTATTTTATTCATGCTATTTTCCTGGTGCCAAGGTAGAAATCATGGTAAATAAGTATTTGTTGGACATGTGGACATATCAGTGAATGAATGTATCTCACTCCATTGCATCCTGTAACAAAATGGATGTTGAATTCAGAAGAATTTTTAAGATTCTTACTTGATATTTTTAGGGTCCAAGGACTACCAACTGGTTACATGGTCCCGGGATCAGACCTTAAGAATGTGGCGGGTAGATTACCAGATGCAGAGGGTATGTATTGAATACTAAGGATCGTACCATACTGAGCAAATGTCCTGTAGTCTTCATTTTTTTCTCTTCTTTTTAGTGGGCTAAGACGTCTACCCTTGCACTCTGCAAATGGTCAAAGCCCTTTCATCTATCAGTACCACTTCTAGGAAATTTTTCCAAATTTTTTCTCCATAAATCACAGTGGTACTTAGTATGAATTGCTTTTATAACCCTTGCTCTTCTCTGCCTCTTCATAGGGCTGTCTTCTCATTCAGTAGCAAAATTTCTCGATAGTGAGAACTGGGTCTCACTGGTATCACATCTTCCGTAGTCCTTGGCATACCAGTTTGCATAGAATCAATGGAAAATGCTGGGTAAAATTTACAACACTGCTTAGTGTAAAATCACTCTTGCATTTTGCCTCTTTCAATTAATTTTCTCCAAAAAGTATGCTTCCTATACTTGGAGTGTATAAGTTTATAAATGTTTGAGCCACTCTGCTAGCCTGAGGTTTTGATATTTTTGCCAGTAAGTTAGCCAAATAACTTCATTAAGTCTTGGAATTTGAGCTGGAGGCATGGTTCAAGTGGTAGAGTGCCTGCCTAGCAAGTGTAAGCCCTGAGTTCAAGTCCTAGTTCTGAAAAACAAAAATGACTTGGAATTTAAATTTTTTTTTTCTGAGACTTGCATAAACTCTGAATGTGATGAGAAATGTCCAGAGTAGAATAATAGAGTATTATCCTGTGTATTTAACCAGGGAGAGTTGGTGATGTGTAAAATCTATTTTGGTTATGTCAGTTCTTGGCTGACATATCTCTTTCCTTTGTGAGTCCCATTTTTAAGTCAGAACTCTTTAACCAGTTACACTCATCATTCTGTTGACTTCTCTATCTCCACATCATCTTCCCTTTTGTGGTGCTGGGAATCAAAATCAGGTGTTCGTGCATGCTAGACAAGGACTCTACCACTGTGCTACCTCCCTGGTCCCATCTTCTGTCCTTTGTTACAGCTCTGTGCCAATGACATACTGGATGGAGTCGATGAGTTCATTGAGAGCATTTCTCTTTTACCGGAACCAGAGAAGAGCTTGCACACCCAAGATACAGATCACCAACAAAACTCAAGTCAAGGGGAAGAAGAAGGTAACAGTGAAATTGATGTCTTAGGTGAGGGGCCACTCTTTACATTTCAGAGATGTGTGGCATATAATCCAGAGCTTTTTTTCATTTTCAAAAAGTTTTCTAACATTAAACACCTGTCCTGTTAGCCTTTAAGGAAGATCCTCCTTGCAGTCTCTTGGAAGAGAGGAAATCAGATCAACTTGGCCTGCCTCAGACTCTGCAGCAGGAGTTCTCTCTGATCAACGTGCAAATCCGGAATGTCAATGTAGAGGTGAGTTGTAGTTTAATGCACTGTGTCTCATGCTTGCTAAAGGCAGTTTGTGGGAGAGGGGACTGTTTCAGCTTTGATTTTGGCTTAGAAATAGCTTTATTGCTCTAACTGGTAAGTCTGCTTCTTTCTTAATTCCTCAGTTTTCTAAAGAAATAGGCATTTAGCAAATGCAGGCTTTTTTCCGACCCTGTTTTTTTCTCCTAAGATGCGCTGATGCTCATGCACCTTAGCATCTTCTTAGATCCTGTCTAACATGTCATTTCACTATGTTTGAAGGTGCTTGATCCGGAGAGGTTTAGTGATTGGCAAGGGCTACTGGGGAAGTTAATGGCAGAGCTGACTTTGGACACCAAACTTCTCACTCTCCAAGCTGCTTGTGCTGTGCTGTTCTACCTTTCCTAGAAGCTGGTCATTTCCTTAGTGATTTTGATTTATAGTAAGGAGGAGACCAGAACCTCCTTGTTCACTTAGCACATGGAATAATTTACTCTTTTCCTTTTGGGCAGGTATCAGGGTTCTTTGCTTCAGAGAATTGAAAGAGTTTAAAACTCCAAGAAGGAGTTTTAAAACTTGACTAGTTTTTCTTTTGCCCAGATTCAGTTGACTGTAGTGTGCCTTTATGAGGTTATTTCATCTGGCCTTTTAACACAGTGCTGCAGTAAGTGGTTTTTACCTCACTAAGACACAAGAGATGCAATGACTGACTTGTCCAAGGTCATTGACTGTGTGATGGAAGGGATGACGTTGAATCCAAGTCTCTAGATTTCCCAGGTTTGGCTCTTCCCACTGTCCTCCAGCTGCCTTCTCTAGTTGGCAGTGCCAGAAACCAACAGATTTGTAGGGTTCTTTGATTAATCATCTAATCTAGATCAACTCAGTTTTATGCTACCTTTGTTCTGGTTGAAAATCACCTAGTTACTTAGTGGGAGATCTTGACTCCTTTCCTCAGGAATACTTCTTAAAAGTTGAAATACAATTCATTGACTACAAAATTCACCCTTTTTTTTTTTTAATAGACATCAGCCACTTGGCAAGTGACTAGGGTCTGCGTTTTTTTATTCTTTTTTTTTTTTCCCAGTACAGTTTGAACTCAAGACCTATACCTTGAGCTACTTCACCAGCCCCTCCCCCTCCTTTTTTTAAATGATGGTTTTTTTTTGAGATGGGGCCTTGTGAACTATTTGCCTGGGCTGGCTTCAAACTGTGATCCTCCTGATCTCTCCTCCTGAGTAGCTAGGATTACAGGTGTGAGCCACCAGTGCCCAGCAAAATTCACCCTTTTAAAGTATGCAATTACTTGTTCTTAGTAGAGGCACAAAGTTGTGCCATCGTCACTACTGTACAACTCCAAAACATTTTCCTCATCCTAAAAAAAACCTGTACCAGCCTGGCGTAGTGGGATTATGTCCATAATTCCAGCACTCTGGAGGCTAAGGAGGATTGAGAGTCTGTAAGCCAGTCTGGGCTACATAACAAGTTCAAGGCAAGCCTGGGCTGCATAGAGACCTGTCTCATAACAACTCCTGCCCCCTCTGGCTGTTACTGTCCTTTTGCCCTCTCCCCAGCCTGACACTAATACTTTCTGTCTATGGATTTTCCAGAATCTTTTTTTTTTTTTTTTTTTTTTTTTTTTTTGTGATACTGGGGTTTGAACTCAGGGCTTTATGCTTTCTAGGCAGGTACTCTTGATTATTTTGGAGATAGCATCTTGTTTTTTGCCAGGTCAGCCTGAACCTTGATCCTGCAGCTGGGATGATAGGGATTGTACCGCCATGCCCAGCTTTTTTCCTTTGAGGTGGGGGTGGGGGGTCTCATGAAATTTTTTGCCCAGACTGTCCTGGAACCACAATCCTCTGGATTTTAGCCTCCTGCATAGCTTGGGATGACAGGCATGTGCCACTGTGCCCAGCTGTTGGTTGAGATGGAGTCTCATGAATTATCTGCCCTGGAGGGAGCAGGGTTTGAGCTTAGGGCTTTGCACTTGCAAACAGATGCTCTACCACTTGAGCCACAACTCCAGTCCATTTTGCCCTGGTTATTTTGGAGATAGGGTCTTGTGAACTATTTGGGCTAGCCTTGAACTGCAGTCCTCCCTATTTCAGCCTTCCAAATAACTAGGATTACAGGTGTGAGCTACTGGTGCCTGGCTTCCAGAGTACTTTTTAAGTTGAATCAGGTTATTTCTTTTAGCATTCCTACTTTATTTTCTCATGTCAAAGTAAATATAACAAGTCTTAGTCAATATCAAAGCTTTGAGATGAAGCTTTTTTAAGTCAAAATACTTTGTATTTATTAAATCAGTACTACAATTTAAAAATCTTCTTGAAAATGAATTTTCTTCCAAATTCATTTGTCTTTGTAGACTCTCCCTTCACTCAGTTACTAGGAATATGGAGCACTCAGGCAGCTTATTTAAATCCATTTGCATTTTTCTGGGAGTGTAGCTCAGTGGTAGAGTACTTGCCTAGCATGTGCAAGGTCCTTTTTGATCCCCAGCACTGCCAAAAAAAACCATATACACATAAAAAATAAAAACTCCATTTACACCTACAGACCCTTTGCAATTTGTTTCCAGAGCAGCTGTGAATTTGTGTCTTGCAGATGGACGCAGCAGATAGGAGCTGTACAGTGTCTGTGCATTGTAGCAACCACCGTGTCAAGATGCTGGTGAAGTTCCCGGCGCAGTACCCCAACAACGCCGCCCCCTCCTTCCAGTTTATTAATCCCACAACCATCACATCGACCATGAAAGCTAAGCTGCTGAAGGTGGGGACCCTAGCTCTCAAATTCTCCTTGTTTTTGTAAGACAGGAGCTCTATCCATGTGTATCATTGTCTACACTGAGTTGTGAAGTTGAGTGAGAACTTGGTTAGATAAGATTTGGAAGTCACCTGATCCCCACACAGTGCAGTATTAGTGACAACAACTATTAGACCATTCATTTTGTGTAGAACAGTGACTCTTAACTTCTTTGGGCATGGCTCAAGTGGTAGAGCACTTGCTTAGAAAGTGTGAGGCCCTGAGGTCAATCTCCTGTACTACAAAAAACAAAAAGTCCGTAAGAGGAGCTGTGCTATCCTAGAGATAGGCTATCTGGCCTACTTGCGGGAATGGTGTGTGGACAACTGTCTGGGTGAAGGTGGCACAGCCTGGCAGCCTGGCTGGTCCTCCACCCTGCAGGTTTGTGAGAGCTAATCATGAACTTCCACAAAAAAGCCCTGTGAACTGGGTGACGACACACCCTTTTCATTTTGAGCTATGTCATGGGTGAGGGAACTAAAATGTCCGGACAAGCCTGAGCTGACCTGTGTGTTGCTGATCTTCTAACCCATTTTGGAATTATTCCATGTTGTCGTGGTGTTATGTGTAACTAGAAAAATTTCAAGTTACACATAACTCGTAAGAATCTATGAAAGGTTAATTATTCAGATTTTATGATATTTGACATTTTAAGTGCTGAATGTTTCATTGCTTAGTTGGGGTACATATAAAAAAAGATAGGTTTTATAAATTGGCATAAGATGTTAGGATTAGGAAGTGTTTTTAAAGGTCCAATTCAGCACAGACCAATAGAAATACAGTGGAAGAAATGTACAATTTCAAATTTTCCAGTAGCCATTCTAAAAATATTTTAAATTTAATGAAGCAGATAATTTTGGTAATATTTTTAATTTAATCCAGTATATCCTAAATATTATATCAATGTATAATCAATACAAATTGAGATAGTTTACACTTTTTTTGGTACAGAAGGTCAGTCTTTGACATTCCCTGTTAATTTTACACTTACAGCATCTCTTAGTTTGGACTAGGCATGTTTCATGTTCTTCATAGCCTCATGCAAGTAGTGACAACATAGGTCCAATCTATACACTGTCTTCAGGTGAATGTCAGTTCATATCTATAGTGTATGCCTTAAAATGTTAGGATTTATAGACAAAAGAAGTCAAAAAAGAAAAGAAAATCATTCCCTGGTTCATATCAGTCCAGCCAGTAGGTATTATTTCCAAGGTATTGAGATTTTTCATGAAGGGGGTGCACTGGGAGAAGAAGGAAGGGTAGAATTCACCAGGAAGAAAAAGTAGTGGTTGTATTACTAGCACCATCCCTTTCAAAACCTGCCTGGGCTGAGGTAGTTGCTTCTCCAGAAGGCCATATAAAAGATAGAATAAGGGTGATGTGCTTGAAACCTTAGGCCTAACCATGTTTCATTCTCCCTGTACCACCATGCTTCTGACCACTTTGCAGAATAAAGCCAAGCAGGAGAAATATGGTGCTCCTCCTGACTGTGTCTTGGCCTTTTTCTAGATCCTGAAGGACACCTCTCTGCAGAAAGTGAAACGCAACCAAAGCTGTTTGGAGCCCTGCCTGCGCCAGCTTGTCTCCTGCCTTGAGTCTTTTGTGGTGGGAAGCATGAATTTGTTGTAACAGCCCATGTTTTGATGTCTTGTTTCATTTCTTCTGTCCCCATTTTGTAATATTGCCCCTATTTTGTAATTCATCTTCAAGACATATTATAGGTTTTAGTTTGTTGATCTCTAATTTCAGAACCAAGAAGACAGTGCTTCTAGCAACCCATTTGCTCTCCCAAACTCTGTCACACCACCCTTACCAACATTTGCACGGGTGACTACTGCCTATGGATCATACCAGGATGCCAATATTCCTTTTCCTAGGACTTCTGGGGCCAGGTTCTGTGGAGCAGGTTGGTCTCTTTGTTCTTTTTTTTTGCGGTACTGGAGCTTGAACTCAGGGCCTACACCTTGAACCACGCCACCAGCCCTTTTTTGTGATGGAATTTTTCAAGATAGGGTCTCGAGAACTCTTTGCCCTGGCTGGCTTCAAACCTTAATCCTCCTGATCCTGCCTCCTGAGTAGCTAGGATTATAGGTGTGAGCCACAGGCACCTAGCTTCTTTGTTCTTTGATTCTAGATTTCAAGAGAGTGTAGCCAAGAAAGTCATAGGTTCCATGTAAATGTCTTTATCAAACAATTTTTGTTTTTAATTTCCTAAGAACTCAAAAAGACATTTTTCTTTTTGATAAACGTGGTGTATGGTATGATGCCAAATTGGTGTCTGTGGGCATATCCTAAGACTGTTCACTAGAATATGTCTTAATTTTTTCATTCTGATGAGCCTGGATTTGAGTCTACTGAGAATTCTAATTCTTAACAGGTCCTGTAGAAGGGATATGTGAAGCACCTGTGAAGACTTTATCCTATCTCTCCTGGACCTTGGGGATTCTGACCTTTGTTCCTGTTTAAAAAAAAAAAAAATTACTGTAGTCAGGAACTTTTGCAATTTATGAAAATGTGTCTTATCCTTCAGGCACATTAAGACAGAAGAAAGATTACCCAGTCCTCCCTTAGGATTCCCCACCTCCAGCTTTTTGACACTGATGTGTATGTGTGCTGTTTCCTTTGTCAGGTTACCTAGTATATTTCACAAGGCCCATGACAATGCATCGAGCGGTGTCTCCGACAGAGCCTACTCCCAGGTGAGTCTGGGAGATACAGAAGGAATCTGCATCATAGGACCGGAAGGGGGCAGATATCTGTAAGGGTCACCAAGTCTGTCCTTGGACAATTTGTTTTAGTTCTTCAGTGAATTCCCATTGTAAGATTCATTCGTGAAAGATCAAGGTTCTTTAAATTACAAACAAGGTGAGATTTTTACTGCAAAGTTACTGCTAAACCACTTGGAGGATTCACTTGATAAAAGCTGTTATCAAACAAGGCAGATTCAGAATGGGATGTGGCTTAGTAGTAGAGCATGTCCTTAGCACATGCAAGACCCTGGGTTCCGTCACTAGTACTGGGAAAAAAACAAGGCAAATTCTTTTTTCTGTTTCTAAAGTATTATTTTTTAAATTGCATTATTTTATTTAATATTAGATCAACCCAAAGACTAACAAAAAAGATCTGTATCTTATAACACTTAATGTGACATTTCTAATATTACCAAAATATGTACAAATTTTAAAAGTTACATAAAAAGTATGTTGGAAAAACTCAATGCTGACGTTTTAAATTAAATTTGAAAGCCCTCTAATTTTCTATGTGCCAGGAAGAGCCACTATTAATGACAGAAATGTATCTGTCATCTTCATTATTTCTCTCTCTCTTTTTTTTTTTTGGCAATTCTGAGTTTGAAGTCATGGCCTCACAGGCAGGCCCTTTACAGTTGAGTCACATCTTCAGCCCTTTCTGCTTTAGTTCTTTTTCAGATAGGGCCTCCTATTTTTGCCCAGGTGAGATTAGACTGTAATCCTCCTACCTATGCCTTCCATGTAGCTGGGATTGCAAATGACATGTTCAGTCCTCTGTGCTTTTTTTTTTTTTTTTGGAATGGGTAATATAGTGTGGCAGATAGATATAGGGACTTAAGAACCAAACTGAGCTGGGCATAGTGGTATATGCCTATAATTTCAGTACTCAAAAGGTTGAGGCAGAAGGATCATGAGTTTGAGGTCAGCCTGGGCTACATAGTGAGACCTGTCTCAAAATACAGAAAAGAACAAAAAACCCCAAAACAAAACAGAAACAAAAAACCACCTGGGCCCAAATTTTGATCCTAACATCCTGTGATTGTGGGTAGCTTATCTAAACTGCTTTAGTTTCTTTAGCAGAAACATGGAAATGCTACCTTGAGTTGCCAGGAAGGTTAAATGTGTTAGTTCTGTAAGGCATTGAAAACATTGCCCTGCACCTGGGGAGTGCTTAGTTTATTTCCTGTTCTGACCACTGTTTTTTTAAACTTCAAGAAGATACTGAACAGCAACCAAGATAACTTGGAAACCTTCCTGCTATAAACACCTGATGAATATATTGGCTATAATACCATTAGCATTTCTTTTAGCTAACAAGAAGGGACCAAAAGCAGTGTGTGAGTAGACACTGCTGCTTGACTGGGAGGTTGCAGTACAGGCAGATAAGACTTTGACCTACAAGAACTGGGGGTTAAGTAACGAGAGAACCCCCTGAATGACACTAGATCCCATGTTCAGAAGGTTGGACTAGAAAACAATCACCTGCTCTCAAGGGTAAACAATGAATATCTGCATCTGGACTTTGGACCAAATGTTCTAATAGGAACATTTTTCAGCCAGTGGTACTTCATTGATGTATAATTGACGTATCCATGCTGAAGTGTTCCGCTCAGTGACCAACACTCAGATCAAGATACAGAGCATTGCCACTGTCCTTATTCCTAAAAGTTCCCAGTTCCTTTTCCCAGCCTCTTATCACCCAGAGGAAACCACTGTCCTGACTTCTGTCTACCAGAGTTTAGTGTTTTTTGTTGCTGTTTATTTTTGGTTTTGGTTTTTAGTAGTACAAGGGTTTGAACTCAGCCTTGAACTTGATAGGCAGACACTCTACCACTTGAGCCACACTCCCAGCTTCCATAGTTAGTTTTGCCTATTCTTGAACGTCATTGAAATCGAATCATGCTTGCAGGAACTGTTTTGTGTCTGGCTTACTTTGCTCAACTTAATGTTATTGAGCTAGATCCCACATGGCTACATGGATCAATAATTGCATTTGTGAATATAACACACAGGTATTCATTCTCCTTGTTGATGGACATTTGGATTGTTTCCAGTTTGGGGCTATTATGAGTAAACCTAGATGTACAAGTCTTTTTATGCATCTGTGTATTAATTTCTTTACCAAGGAGTAGAGGAGTAGAATCACTGAGTCATAGGATATGTGTATTTAATTTTATGAGAAATTGCCAAAAAGTCTGTGCACAGTGGTTATGCCATTTTGATCTCACACCAGTGATGTTTCAGAGCACACGTTGCTCCACATTCTGTTTCATTTGTATTGCCAGTCTCTTCAACTTTAGTCATGGTGATGGGTGTGAAACACTATCTCATTGCAGTTTTTTAAATTTGCATTTCCATAATGATCACTGTCGATGCCAAACAGTTCTGTTGTTCCTTTGACCATTTGAGTATCTTTTGTGATTTACCTGCTCAAGTGTTATGTACTGTTTTTGGGCTGTATGTCAGATTTATTTGTGGTATTTATCTATTTTGGGTCATACATCTTTTGCTGAATGTGTGTACTGATTTTCTCCTAACCTGTGGCTACTGTTTCTCCTTTAATGATTTTCAATTTTGATGATATCCAACTTATCAATTAAAAAAATTTTTTTGAGACAGGGTCTTGTTATATAGTCCAGACTGGCCTTAAACTTTCCATCCTCCTGCCTCAGCCTCCCTAGTCCTGCCATAACAGGTATGCACCACCGCACCCAACTGTCACTTTTTAATTTGATTTGGTTAGTGATTTTTGTATTGTATCCAAAAAATCTTTGCCTACCCCAAGATCACAAAAATATTCTTCTGTATTTTCTTTGAAAACGTTATAGTTCTAAATTCCTTGTTTAAGGTCAGTGGTCCATCTCAAATTAATTTTTTCTGTTTGTATGTGAGGTAAGGGTGAAAATTTGTTTTATTTAGTAGACATAGACATTTGTTCTAGCACCATTTGTGAAGATTTCCTTCCTTTATTAAATTTGTATCGATGACTTAGATGAAAGTCAGGTGGTGACATATCTGTGGTCTGTTTCTGGACTCTAGTTTTCCCTTTGATCTGTGTTTCTCCTTATGCCAACACTGCTCATAATGCATCCTCATCTAGTAAATCTTCAGATCTGATCCTGTAAGTCTTCCAACTGTGTTGTTACCATTTATTTTTGTGTTGCTATTCCAGGTCCTTTTTCATTTCTGAAAAATTATAAAATCAGCTTCCTTTTTTACTAGAGAAAGCCTGCTGACATTTTTATTGGAATTATATCAACTCTGTACATCAATTCAGAGAAAACTGATGTTTTAACAATATGGAATCTTCTTATTTGTTAGGATGGTATATTTCTCCATTGTGTATATTCTTTAATGTCTCTCATTACTCTCAGTAATATTATGTATTTTCTTTCTTTTGTTTTTTTTGAGACAAAGTCTTGATATATAGCCCAAGCTAGCCTCAAACTCTCAAACTTGTGATGTAGTCCAGGCTGGCCTTGAACTTGCTATCCTCCTCCTATAGCTTGCTGAGTGTTGGGACTACAAGTATATGCTGCCATACCCAAAATATTTTGTATTTTCAATTCACATTTTTTTCATTAAATTTGTTCCTAGGTATTTGATGTGTTTTGATGCTATTGAAAATGAAATTTTCTCATTTTTCAAATTTTTGTTTCTAATATATATATATATATAGAAATAGTGGATTGACCTTGTATCTAAATTCACTAATTAGTTCCAGTAGTTTTGTAGATTCCTTTCAATTTTCTGTGTATACAATCATGAAAGTATGCTGTGCTTCTGCAGATAAAGCATTTTTCAGTTTTGAAAGTTTTATTTGGTTCTTTTTTTGGAGTTTCTGTTTTTTCCCATGTCTTTTTCTCTTGTCTTCATCAAGTACTAAGAATAGCACTACTTAGAGTGTGAAAGATTACAGTCAGAATGGATAATTCTCCTTCTCAACTACAGATCTCTCTCGGCCTTGTCTGCTTATCATACTGGCTTGATTGCTCCAATGAAGATCCGCACAGAGGCCCCTGGGAACCTTCGTTTATACAGTGGGAGTCCCACTCGCAGTGAGAAAGAGCAAGTCTCCATCAGCTCCTTCTACTACAAGGAGCGGGTAAGTGTCAGAGCCCTTGCCTTTGATTCTTCCCCTGCTCCTGGATTCTTGTTCCTTGTCCCCCGGCCTGCCATTCACAGCAGCTCAGTTAGTAAGCCTTTGATAGTACTTCACTTTCTTAATTAGTTTGTTCAAGAAATGCCATTGCTTTGTTCCTTCCAGTTGGTTTTAATGACTGAATTGTGTGTTGAGGGGAACAGGGATTAGTTCTGATAGTCCATATTCTTCACTCCCCATTTAACCATGTCCTTGTAATCCCTATTAGAATAATGTAGCTTCAGGTCTCCCTTGTTATTCTGATATTTGTCCACATATTAAGGGATATTTCTGAAGGCTTGGGATCTTGACATATTTGGAAGTTTGTAGTCGTGAGCAGTGTACAATTGACCTCTAAAAGGTTTTCTGTTGTACTAAGTATACACTTAGGTACTTATTTGAGTGGATCAGTTTATATGAAAATTTCTGAACTTATCCTGTTACAGGGTTATTAAAGAATTCATTGTCCCTAAAGAAGTTATCATTAAGCTGGCAGACTGCTTTGGTAACAGCAACATAAGAGTATGCTTTTAGCTGATATGTTTTAAGCAAAGAGTTCTCCCTGGGTACAAACTCAGTCTTTAAGAATTTTTTATTGATATTGCCCATAAGTGAGAAATAACAGATTAGTTATAATTAAAAATCATTTTTTAAGAACTGAATTATTTTAAATTTAAAAATGTTATATGTTAGAAGTATCTTCACTTCTCTTGCAGTGTGGTGTTTACCTTTGGCTCAGCCTGTAGCTGATCAGCTCTTGGGCTGTATGTGACCGAAGTGAGGGTCAGCAATTGATATTTGGGACTGGGTCAGTCTTGGGCAAAGCCACTCAGTTGAATAGGGAGAATGACTTTTTGTTGCCTTCCTGGCCAACTTTCCATAGCCCTTTTCTTGCATCTCTGATGGAGTTCTGTATTCCTCTTCCTCCAACCCAGCTATCACAGACCTTCTTAGAACACCTTCCAAACTATTTCCTCCCCAAGTCCTTTACGTTCAAAGATATCAGCTCTTTTTGCTTTCTCTATAAACTAGCAGGTAGCTTCTCTTAGATGATTTGATAAATTCGTTGGAACAAGACATTTTATTGGCATAAAAGCCAAATAAACTCAGTTGGGTAAATGTGAAAATTCTCTTTAACATCAGGGCTATGTTGAGATCTTTAAGTCAGAGACTCAGAGACAATTCTGAATGCCCATTCAATTCATGTCATGTCCCTCTGTGCTTGGGTTCGGATGGGCAGAATAGATTGACCAGCACTTTTGACTTTGTGGCCGTGTAAAGCCTGTCTGAAGTCAAAGTAACTCCAGTTCTAAGACAGAACCTCTCCTAATGCAAAAGCATTGGTGAGACCTGCATTCATGTTTATGACTGGCCCCTTTTACTACCAACACCATCATCATCATCATAAAGAGGCAATAAAAACATGTGACTAATTGTCTGTTAGCAGGTAGGGTCTGCCCAGGTGTGGAGGAAGGAGTGTGATATTTCAGTTTGGGGTAGTTCCTAATGTGCTGCTGAGCCACAGAAAATGGGCTATTCTAATACCCTAGTCTGACAAAGGAAGTGGTCTTTAAGTTTTATTTTAAAGTGGCCAAATAAAATAAGCACATTTACCATAATCTCATGAAACTTGTAAACTGATATGTAGCATATGTACAGAAAAGTTCACAGATCATGAGTGTGTGGCTCAGTGAATTAACAACCACCCAGGTTGGTCAAAAAGTAGAACATTGCAAGACCCTCAGAAGCCTTAGGGGAGGCAAGACATAATTTAATGGATGGCATATAATAATTAGGTTAATTGACATGGAATTGCTGATATCTGACCATTTTTGATTTTAAAAAAAGTTTCTTGTGGTTCAGCGTAATAGCTTTAAAAAGCAAAAATAAGTAGTTATTTTGTGATGAATTTGAAATAAACATATCTCCTTGAAGCTTGTTTACTTCTGTCCTATTTAAATAGGGCAGAGGGGAACTAATCAATGGAATGCTGCCAAGGTATCTTACGTAGGCTGCCTTGTCTTCCTCACAAAGGTTCATACTCCTAATTTCTAGTTCTCAGGAGTCTAGTTTCACCTGTCAAATGATAGATACACTTTATTGCTTTTGGTCTGGAAAAGTTTCCAGCTTACTAAATTTTTTGTGCCCCAGTTTTTCTTCTGTATACTTTTATTCCCTTTGTAGATCTCTACCCCTGAGAGCTTTAAACAAGGAGAATGAAGGAGTAGAATATGCCAGCATTAAAGCCTAGCAATGAAGGAATTACAGGGTGTTTTTGAGATTACAGATCTTTATAGAGCCATGTGGAGACTATTGTTTCTTTCTCTTGTGTTTTTAACCTGTCCTACCTAGGTTGAATTGTTATATTTACAGTGTTCTCCAGATGGAATTCCAAGGTTTGCTCCTAAAAACATGAGACAGACCTAAAAACCTCCCAAAATTCATAGACGCAAGAAAGCACGGGGTGGGGGTGGGGTTGGAAATACAATGGAGGTTGTGAACCTGTTCAGAGTTCATGAATGAATTTGGCAAATAGACCAACTGTTATTAGCTGATAAAATATATTCATTTCTTAGATTAATCAGAAGGCCTACAACTTACGATAAAAATTGCTCTACAGACATTTAAAAATTTTTTTGCAACATTTGCTTCAGTTTATGTTATAAAAGGAGCTCTGATGTAAATAATTGCGGAGATTAAATTAATAAAATAACTTCTGATCTCTATAACCAGTATGATGTATTCCCAGTTCCACACTCAGATGCTCTTGCTGTTAGCTGGAGGGCCCTCAAGAGCATTCCTCTTCAGCTCGGCTCCCTCTCCCCTCAATTCTCCAGAGCTCTCCTCCCCTCATCCCGAATTGCTCTGAATAGTCCTGCAGTCCCAATGTCAAGACACCCAATTCGCTCATTGTGTTCGTCCTGCCCTCCCCCCCGCCCAAACACTCACAAAAACTGGGTATTGAGCCAGTTGAAGAACTTCTTCCCTGAGTTCTTCTTCTCACTCGTTAAGTAAAGAGGGAAATAGGGTATTCCCTGTTCCTCCACTTGCACCATGATCTCAGTCTTGTTCAAGTCCCTCAAACCTTGGTCACAGTTGCTTTGTTAGAGCTGTGTTGATGTCAGCTTCTTTATAATGTGGAATCTGAAAAAAGAGCAATGAAATTGAAGCTGGGCCTGGAGTGCGGCTTGGGGGAGGTATGGGAATCCAAATACTGCTGTGCTTAGGTTCAGGTGTTCTGGTCATTCCAACCCCCGTTTTGAAGCATATACCTTTTGATCCATCAGATGTGGGGGAAGCTTTCATTTATTCTCTATTTTTCCCTTTTAATTTTCTTGGTGTTTTTCTTCCCTCCTCCTGGGTGTAACGTTTTCACGCACAGATGTCTCCTCGCTCTGCCCGGCGACGTTGGTCCATACAAGCAATTAACGACTTCCCGGTACTGTGCGCTGTGCAAATGCTCTCCTTAACTAATCCTGTCTCTACCCAAAGGCCCAAGAATAAAATGCCACCTGCCTGGCTTTGAGGAACCTGAAGTGACAGGCTGGCTGGTTTTCAGGACCAGCAACAATAAATTTTTCCCTCTGGGGGGTCAGGCAGCCAGGACTGTGATCCTATGAGTCTCATGTTCAGTCCATTGTTGAGGATCATGAAGACTTTGCAAATGAGACTTAATATGGGTTCTAGGGAGAAACCCTGATTAAACGACTTTAGCTCTCCTGATTTCACTTGGAGCACTTGTATAATTTCATGGAGCTTTCTAAAGCCTACCTTTGGCATGGGGGGAGCAGAGGAAGATATAAGAGGCTTCTGCCATTTAGTCTCTTTTTATAGCCTTGGTCTGGTTCAGAGAGGGAAGTGCCCACCTGCTTCATTGGCATGATACATAAGCTAGTATTTGTCCTTTATGATTTCTTGGAACAAATTTTTTCCTTACCATCAGTATTTTGCATTGACAATAAAACTTCTGCTATGGATATCCCCTGTTCCTTTCTTTCCTATTCACTCCTATTGGCCACCTTCCCTCTTCTGTCTTCCTCTCCCATCCCCTTCATGTTTCAGTAGTGCCAAGGTGACCTCAAGGCAGCCTTGAGGCTTTGTGTAAATTTTGTTTAGTGTAAAGAATGTTCAGAAAAACAGTTTTTACAGCCTTTTCATATAAAAACCAGTTGAAATCAGGGACCCCGATTAGCAAGAATCATTGCTGCCAACAACTTTCAGGTGGAACCACCAATTTGGCCACCTTTCCTCAAAAAGCTGCTCCCAGCCAACCCAACTGCTGAATTTCGACTGATTTTCCGCAAGTCCCTGTTTTGCAGCTCTTTAAATAAGAATTCATTTTGACTCACTGCCCACTCTGCTGATTATGCATTGTTGATGGGGTTGCTGCGAAGCAGTTGGTGGCTTATTCTTGGGCTGTTTCTACATTTAACCCATTTACTGGCATTGATGTTGCCTCCGATTGTAGCAGTAACACTGGTGGTGCAGTCTCGAGCTGGCTATTGGTTGTCATTCAGTGCCTCCTCCCTCCAACCCCTTTTTCCCCTGTCCTCTTTGCCATACTTCACGAGCACCTTCCTGGGATGTTCAGAGGGGCATCCTGGAGCTCATCACATAATAATTTGTCTGTCTTGCTTTGCCTCTCTTCCTTCAGTCCCTTCTCATGAAATCTGTGGGGAAAGGGCATTTTCTGTTGATGGAACATTGAAAAGACCTAAGAGAAATGCAGAGTCCTTTGTCTCCTTAAGGTACCAATTTTTACTACACAGAGAAGTATCCATATTGAAGCCTGTCAGAGTGAGACTGGAGCAACAAAAGAGTGTTAAGGGTTTATAGACCGTGGTGGCCCTTCCTTAACCCAGAGTAATCACACCTTAACCTAGTGTGTCATTGTTTTCTGAAACCAAAGAATCCCAAGAGAAATCCAGGTGTTCATACCTGACAGTTACACAGACAAGAGAGACTCCGAAAATGCCTGCAAGATTCTCAGGGAAAAGTCAGACTTAGCAGGAACAGGAATGCTTTTTATTGTCAAACCCTGGAGGGAACACCCTGAAAAATTGACCAACTTCTTAGGTCAAAATTGACCTAAGGCTCCAGCTAACATCTGATTTGAGATTTAGAATATCTTCATTAGGTACTTTTGTTATATTTGAATCTTCAGGATAATTGACCATAAGATAGGATTACTGAGTGACTCCTGTAACCTAATAGGGAGGTATTTCATATTTAAAACCACCAACCAACAATTAAAACAACAGCAGCAACAATAAAAACCAAAACTATTTTGTAGCCCTTAAAGGCTTTTTGACATGTTTTATAGTTATTTCTTGCTGAGCTAAAAAAACCGAAAAACCCTACTAGTGCTGCTTCATAATTGCTTTTACAGTTTGATTTTTGGTGGCAGCTAGAGTTAGGGTGACCCTATGTTGCAGAACCTTTCTGATGTAGGCTCAAAGGCAACTGAGTGAGGTTTCATAAGGCATCTCCTAGACATTTAATACATATCAGACAGAAACTTCTAGAAGCATGGTATCTTAAGAAGTCCTAGGAAATATAGACTGGTTTCTATAATCCATTGAAGGATAATTGCAAAATTAAAGACCACTGTCTTCACATTTTCATCTAGTATTTTTTAACAGTTTACACTGGCTTGTTTCTACTGACTAGTATAACTGCAAATAGGGGAAGAGTCTTAAGACATCTCTTAAGACTTAAGTTTTCTTCTATGTGAATGTGCCTAATCTTAACAAATCCACCAAAGGAGGTTAAACACACACGATGAGGCACACATTCTCAAACCCAGCCCGAAGCACAGTGTTGTCTAAAGTTGACTTGCCCTAGGAAAAGCCTTGTGGCTGTAGGAGCTCCAGCTCTGCCGATCTTCAGCAAACTACCCTGACTTAGCAGTACACAATCTTCATACTTGGCAGAAAGTGACTGAAAAAGTGAATAATTGTAGAAAGATGGTTTGGGATAGGCATCACTAGAATCAAATGTTAATCTTCTTATGTGCAGATGGATTTGTTTAAAAATGAACCAAATTATATGTTCACAAGTAGCTTAGGACTTAATTTTTCCCTTGTTAATCTAAAATTATATACAGTACTGAAAAGCAAGTTAACAAGAATGGGTGTATCATCTTAACAAATCTATTTAAGTCTGAGCTCTGTGACTGTGACCTTGAGTAAGTTTCACATCCTGTCTTACAAAAACGGAGATGATACCTCCTATGCCACAAAGCTGCAGTGAGGCACATGCCAGCTCAGAGGGAGCAGTCCATAACAGGGTAACATGGTTGTAATAACAACAGGCAAGACTTTAAATCCTAAGCTAAACGTTTGTACACTTGGACTTGTTTCATTGTCAATTTCCAAATGAACTAGTCTACTTGCAAATGAGTCAGTTCTGGCACCTAAACCTTCATGTAATGAATAATATGCTTTTTGTTAGGTTTCTCTTTTAAAAGTCAGGAAATTGTGGCTATTTTCATTGTGTTCTAAAAACTAGTAGACCCCATACTTCATGATGCTTACATTTGTTTTAAATGTATAGTTAAAAGAGCTACTAGGAGTTGCTCAATCATTTAAGTGCTTTCATTTTCTCTTTGTAATAAGGAGCCACAGTGACTTCCTAGAACAGTACTTTAGAAGATTTCAACCAACCCAGAAAACCAAATTAGATGGGTCATAATCTATTCCATGTGGAAACGTAGATTTGCTTTTTTTAAATCCGGTACCCTAAATCTCATTTGAGATGGTCAATTGTGTGGGACCTATGTGTGTGTTGTTGCCAGCACCTTGCCCTGTTACTGCAGGGTAGTTAAACATTGAACTACCCTCCCTACAATAGGTCATGCATAGTACTGAGTGCATGTGTGACTACATCTGTCTTTTATCAGTTAATCCTGCCTGGCTCCAGCCCATTTTGACAGATTGTTTACTCTTTAACATGTCCTCCCCTTACTTTCACCCAAGTCAGAATATTTGTGGATAAAGGATAGTATTTTTGTGAGTATGCACATAATTCTTCTTTAGAAAAAAAACCAAGATATAATCCCAGCACTCGGAAAGCTGAAGTTGGAGGGTGGTGAGTTTTGAGGCCAACCTGGGCTACGGAGCAAGTCTGAGGCTAGTGTCTGGGCTATCTATAGTGAGGCCCTGCCTCAGAAGAAAAGAAAATCAGTGCATGGAGAGAATTGAAGGATTACCTCCCCCTAGTAGTAGACTGAGCTTCCACTTATATCATTGTGTGGATATGTAGTACGTAGTAATGGAACTGCTTGTTAAAATCAAATGGGTCAAGGTTCCAAATTTGATACAAATTGATGACAAACACTTTATAGATGCTTCAGCTAAACTTCACTTACCTGCCTGGAACTAAGTCCAGGCGTCATGGATTTAGTAGTTTCCATGACACATACTTATCTTATAGGAAGTTATATGCATGAGGTACCTTTGGGGATTAGGTGAGACATTGTGGTCAGAAATGCCTGGATTTAGACCTACACTAATTAATGACAGGGGATTATATACAAATCACTTGTGGAAAATTAATTGGTGAGTAATCTGAATAATGAGCTAGCTTAAAATTCCTGAGAGTTTATATACATTGATAATTATATTTTTAGGTTGCACATTTCAGTTTACACAGTTTGTACCCATATTTTTTCATTGTACCCTTATTGACCTCATGAGATTAGACAGTAGAGTTCACCATTAGCTATGAGTTACCAATGAGCAAAGAAAGAGTGACATGATATTAAATCCACTGCAAATAATTAACTTTCCCAGGGTCATTTTGAGTCAGTATGTGTGGAAGTTAAGACCTTGGTTTTCTCATTCCAAATCACAGACCCTTTTCACTTGCTCCTTATGCTCCTTTGTTAATAAATGTGTCACTCCCTTCCTAAGTTGAGTCACTTTGGTGACCTCTTTTTTAACTTCTGGAAATAAAATAGAATATTACTCCCTTGACTGGCTGTCATTTCGAAGATAGCAAATGGGGCTACACTCTAATAATTCTCATTTTCCAGGATATTTCCCATTCCACATGTACAAGCTCCTCACATAGATAGCCACTTACAGTGACAGATTTGGGAAATTGGGACACTTGCTTAAGATCTCCCTTGTCCATTACCCAAATCCCCCAACTTAAATATTTTTGACCTTCTAAAATGATGATTCTTAGAAATAACTCAGTTCTTCTAGAGAAACAGGGTAACTCTCTTTAAGATGCCAGGTTTCTCTTTCTCCATAGATTAGTGTTTGCAGAGCCCACCTACACTGCTGTGTCTGAATAAAAATTGAGCAAACCCTGTTAAAACTGTCTGAGAAGAAAAAACTTTGAATTGTTTCAGGCAAGAACTTTGAACCTAGTGCTGAACTCAACCTTAAAATTTGTTCTTCTCTCACAATTTTGGGGTCTTTACTAACTTCTTTATCTGCTGTTTTAAAACTAATTAATTAATTCTGGCTTCCTGGTATCAATTTTGAGCACCTGTAGAATGTAGGCAGCCCTGCTTCAGGTGCCTATTTTCCTAGTAGGATTTTGGATCAAGAGCTCAGTGCCCTTTGTCATCCTTTTATTTCCTACAGATGCTGATTCATGTAATTGTGGGCATGATGTAATTTAAAGTCTCTGCAATTTACCAATGACCCAAATATGATGTGCTCTGCAACTGTAGGTTTCTATTCTTCAAAGTCCCCATTAGTTATATCTTGCCATCTCCCCCAGAAATCAAGGAGGTGGAAAAGTAAGCGCGAGGGATCTGACTCTGGCAATCGACCTATCAAGGCTGCTGGGAAAGTCATCATACAGGATGTTTCGTGCCTTCTTCCTGTTCACAAATCACTGGGAGAACTGTATATGTAAGTTCAGAATTTCAAGTATGCTGCACTTACACTTAGGGTTGTAAATCTTTTTTTTTTCCCTAAGTTTTATTTATTTTTTATTTTATTATTCATATGTGCATACAAGGCTTGGGTCATTTCTCCCCCTTCCCTAAGTTTTAGAACCTTTTCTTCAAAAGCAATTTGAGGAGAAGCTTAATGTATTACTGTTTCATTGCTGCATTACAAATTACCACAAATTTAGCAGCTTCAGAGAGCATACGTTTATTAGCTTGCAATTTCCATAGGTTCAGAGTCTGGGCGTGGCGTCTCTAGGTCCTTGCCCAGGGTCTCATAGGCTAAAATCATGTGCTGGCCCCACAGTGGTTTCTTCCAGTACTCAGGGTCTTCTTCCAAGCTTTTTTGGTTGTTAACAGAATTCAGACCCTTTCAGCTATAGAACATGTCTGTGAATCTTACACACAGGCATGGTGGCTAACAGACCTGTCTTTAAAGGCTCTGCCTGATTAGATTGGGGCCATCCAGGATAGTCTGCTTTTTGACAGACTCAAGTCAACTGGTAAATAACATAATCATGGAAGCAATACCCCACCTGTATTCATAGGGAGTGTGTATTGCAGGAGGCAGGCGTTTTGGGGAACATCCTGGAATTCTGCCTCCTTTTATCTGCAGATAAAAGTAGAGCTACTTTAGCTGAAGAGAAGTGGGAGGTAAGTGACCAGTACGCAGAGGCCAACCTGTGGTTTCCTTACTTCTTCCTGAACTTGAACACGTAACAGAAAGTATTTCTTTTATAATACATACACAGTGTGATACTCTTTTTGTATAAATCAGTGTTGCACATATTCAAATCCCTTAAGCCCTAGGAACTACACAGAAAAGCAGGTTGGCAAATTAGTGTTTAAGTATGGTTTCCTCTTCTGACCTCAAGGCTGTGAGCGATTTTACCTTCCCTAGGCAGGAACCTACACCCCTGTTAACATCAACTCCAGTCAATCCTTTCCTCCCTGTCAGATAGAAAGGAACTTGATGCCAACACAAAGTGACGGTTTTAGTGAAACCAAAGAGGAAGTTCCTAGTCTGTTAAAGCAGGAAGCATTAATTTAGGAAATTAGACTGGAAAGCTTTTTTAATTCTTTTTTAAAAATTCCAGATTGAATGTGAATGATATTCAGGAAACATGTCAGAAGAATGCTACTTCAGCCATGCTTGTTGGAAGAAAGGATCTTGTCCAGGTATTGTAAATCCCTGTTGGTTGAATTCTGGATTTTTCTTTTAACAGTGAGTTGTTTTCATTTTATAGTGAATATCTTTGCCATTTGTACCCTCAATTCCTTTTTTCCTTTTTTTTAACTTTTAAAAGTGCTTCATTTTAGGCTGGTGGAGTGGCTCAAGTGGCAGAACACCTGCCTAGCAAGTGTGAGACCCTGAGTTCAAATTCCAGCACCACAAAAAAACAAAACAAAACAAAACTTCATTTCATAAAAGGTTTACAAAGTGTTTCTTTACATAGAGTTCAATTAAAAATATTATTTAATCTTATAAAAATGTAAATTTCCTTCATCTTTTCAGGAACACATCAGTGTATTAAAGCAAACTGCTTTTATGTTGTTTTTAAGTTTATTTGGGGGGAAGTACTGGGGTTTGAACTCAGGGCCTCACACTTGCTAGGCTTGCTAGGCATGCGCTCTACCTCTTGAGCCACTCTACCAGCCCCTCTATGTTGTTTTTTTAAACAACCATGTGTTTATTTAAGCATACCATGCAACTTACTCGGTTAATATACCATTCAGGGAGTTTTAGTGTATTCAGAGTTGCACAACCGTAACCACAGTTTTAGAACTTTTTTTATTACCCCAAGAAGAAACCCCATTCACCTTAGCTATCATTTCTCAATTCCTTCCTCCGACTCCCAGCTGTACACAATCACTAATCTACTTTCTGTCTATATTGCACCCTGATTCTTTAGTGTGCAGGTTAGGATAAGCAATGGAAATTACTAGTGGCTGTCCTGTCAGCTCAGTGTTTTTCCTTATAACGGTCCAAACAAATCAAAACTCAGGTCTTTCCTTGATTTTTATCTGATTTAAAAAAATTCCTAAGATTTCCATTTATAGTCTAATAAACACTGTTAAGTCTCTGCCTGAAACTTTTTTAGGAGAAATTTAATCATGGGTTTAGTCTTATTTCTCTAAGGCCCCAGCAACCAAGATTTTATGAACACCGAGAAGGCAACATGAGGTAATAGAAACTGTGTAATCTATAGCTGGAGGCCTGGGTCCAACTCAGCTTTCTAGCGGAGTAACCCCAGGCAAGTTATCTCAGTCACTCCACTTTTGACTTTTGAGTATGGTTATAAAATGAGAACCCAAAGAACAATTTCCTCATAAGCTTGGTAAGAAGACTGGTGAATGCAATACTGAAGCCAACCCAAGAAAAACCATTCTCTGAGCAAAAATTACTTGTTAATTTTTCTTTAAGTTGTTAGTACTTTTTTTTTTTTGGTAGAGATGACTTGGAAGGGAAGGTCAGTTGGGTGGAGTTATCTTAGTCACTCATGTCTGAGGGAGACTCTTGTCTTTAGACAGACCTGACTTAACTCTGGGCTCCATCACTTTTTTGTTATGTGATCCTGAGAGAGCTACCCAATTTTTCTGAACCTCAAATTCCTTAGTAAAATGGAACAATACTTCTGTTCTAAATTCATTATGAACCCATTGAGGTTCATATCTGTAAAGCCTCATTACTGTTTCTGATAGGTGGAAAATGCCTACCATGTGGTAATTGTACAATTATTCTTGTAATTACCATTTGTGACATAATACTGTTTAAAGGGACAGAGAAGTGACATCAGTAGCAGTGTTTGAGGAATTTTTTGTTGTTTGCTGTGCCCCTGTCAAAGATATATGTGTTACTCTTTCTGTTGAAGACATTTAGGAAAGATATATTATGAAGTGAGGAAATAGTGAAATAGTATGGCTAAGTTGTTAGCCAGGGTAGAAAGCCTCTTTTTTTTTTTTTTTAATTTTAAAATTAGGATAAATTTGTTTGGGGGGCGGGTGGATTCATTGTGACAATTCTGAATAGGTTTACATTGATTATACGTTGGTTGGATCGCCCCCACCATCTCTCCATCTTGGCCACCTCCCCGCTCCACTTCAAACAGTTACAAAAGATTTCATTGTTCTACTTTATGTAGAAAACCTCCTATTTTATCCCAGAAAGTCACTGACTTCTTTCAGCAGCCATTTGACTGTGTCACTGATTATAAAGGTGAATGTAAACTTCATGTTTCTCCTTTTAAACAATTCCTGTGTGTGGTTTTCAACTATGTTGGTACCACATAATTTCATTGATTTTCAGCATTTTTATTTGTTTATCCTTCCTTTGTAAGTTATAAGCTCCTTGATTCAAAGTTCAGGTCTTCCTTTTGAGCTAGGTGATGGGGCATGCAATGATTTTCTAAAAGTAGTGTTACATTGTAAAGGCACCCAAGGGCTGGGGACTTTGTTCATGATGCCGTGCATATTAGCACACGCCTTGGATTGAACGGACACTTTATGCAGTACCTTCTGCTGATGATTCCAAGTTTGGAGGTGTTCCTCAGATTCATGGTCAACAAAAAGAAAGCCAAATCTATTTAGTCTTGGCCTAGTCTTTAGCTTCAGAGAATGTACTAAAACTTTTGTAAAGAAGACAAAAATGATTCTCATGATTTGGATAAAAGACAGGTCTTAAACATGGTACAGGAAAGTTTTTCCTGATTTGGATAAAGAACCCAAAATGCTGTTTGTTCCCTGCCAACCCAACTCCCTAATGAAGCAGTAGAAAAAGTCATGTATTGATGTTTAATAAATGGCCCCGTGCAATTGCTGCACTGTGTCATTTCTCTAAAGTTTGACTAATAATGGTTTTTGTTTGTTTCTTGAGGCAAGGTCTCACTATATGGTCCAGGTTGACCTTAAATTCACTATCCTCCTAACTCTACCTATGCCTGGCTTTTATTATTATCTTGGCAGTACTGGGGTTTGAACTGAAGGCCTCGTACTTACTAGGCAAGTGCTCTTGAGCATTTGAGCCGTACCCCCCTCCTCCCAAGCCCACACCCAGCTTATTAATGAAAGGGGTTTTGGTTGTTTTTTTCTCTCTCTTTTTTTTTTTTATTCATATGTGCATACAATGTTTGGGTCATTTCTCCCCCCTGCCCCCACCCCCTCCCTTACCCCCTGCCCCCTCCCTCTCCCCCCCTACCCCCTTGCTACCTGGCAGAAACTATTTTGCCCTTATCTCTAATTTTGTTGTAGAGAGAGTATAAGCAATAATAGGAAGGGCCAAGGGTTTTTGCTAGTTGAGATAAGAATAGCTATACAGGGAGTTGGCTCACATTGATTTCCTGTGCGTGTGTGTTACCTTCTAGGTTAATTCTTTTTGATCTAACCTTTTCTCTAGTTCCTGGT